GATGGATGGATGGATGGATGGATGATGGATGGATGGATGGATGGATGGATGGATGGATGGATGGATGGATGGATTCCTACAGTCTTCTATGATGTGTCTAACTTTGTTAGGACAACCATGCTAACGACACTTTGCTTGTTTAAACGTGCCTCAGGTACCAACAGCTGTGTCCATTCAGGAACCAATGATTTGTGGCGGATGTGGCGAGCAGGTGTGTGACCGCTTCTTCCTATTGGCTGCAGGGAGGGTGTGGCACGGCGCCTGCCTCCGCTGCAGCCAGTGTCACTGTGAGCTGCAGACTCAGCCCTCCCTCTACTGGAGAGACGGAACCATCTACTGCCAGCAGGACTACTGCAGGTCTCCTCACTGAACTGCTCCACTCTCATCAGCATCTAATTACATTTCTCACACCTGGTTTGTCCTCACCTGTTAGGCTCTTCGGAGGGGGTCAGTGCGCTCGCTGCTTCCAGCCAATCCCACCCACCGCTTTGGTCATGAGGTCCGGCGAGCTGACCTTCCATCCTCACTGCTTCTCCTGCCAGGTATGCTGAAAWGCTCACAGTTGTTTGTTTTGCAAAGTTTTAAATAAATGTGGATTATTTCTAAAAATGTTTTTTGCAGGAATGTGATGTGAAACTAATGCCCGGGAACCTGTACTTCATGCAGGGCCCAAACCTGTACTGCCAATCACATTACACATTATCACATGGAGACGGAGGCAACATGGCCCTGACCGACCCTTCACAACCAAATCTAAATGAAGGTGAGTGATTTTATATAAAACCGTTGTTTCTGTGGCCACTAGAGGGCAGCAAACTCTACAATAATCACAATCACAATACAATAATCAGACACACTGAGATTCTCCTTAAATGTTAAAGGGTTGTATGGGTATATCAGGATTTTTAATGAAATTAGCAGGCCCTTGAACATTGAGATTAAATTATAAATCTGCCTAAAAACTAAATATATTAGTTATTAGTGGGTAAAAATGTTCTCTCTGATGTCAGAGACAGGTCAAAACCAGGTGTCAGGCGAAGGGGAGGAGTCTGTCAGCAGCCCAGAACCACGACTGGAAGACAGGGAGGCCGGTGGGCGGACCCGCAGGCGGACCAAGCGAATCAGGACTTGTTTCCGCAGCGAGCAGCTGAGAGCTCTGGAGACTTATTTCGCCCAGAAGCACAACCCTGATGGCAAAGACTGGACCTGCCTCGCTCACAAGACCGGCCTGCCCAAGAGAGTCCTGCAGGTACACATCGTTTGATCGTGAGAGACTTCGTAAGAAAACAAAGTGACGCATCCTTTAAGCCTGGTATCTTTATACTTTATGTTAAAACAAAACTGTGACCAACATGTTCTTTAGAGTTTTATAATTAAAATATGAACAATTTAAATTATTAACATAGAACCATAATAGTCCTGCAGAGCTATTTAAGGCCGTTCCCGAAAAAGACACTGTCCAGATGGGAGCATATGTTCTTCTAAAACCTGTATATAAAGTTCTGTATTTCGATGCACCCCCATATCATCAGAGAGGCAGGCTAAAAGTAAGGAAAGTTTTATTTATATAGCGCCTTTCAGAGAAATAAATTCACAAGGTGCTGTACATTCAGGGAAGGGGGAGGGGCAGTTAAGACCGGTCATGCAGCAAAACACAGTTGTGCCACCGTAACAACAAAGACAACAGAAAAACTAAAAACCACACAAAGGAAGATGAGGAAAAAAGCAAAAAACATCATATTATATCAACACTGTGACACACTATGGTAACTCTGCATAGGGCAGGTTTATTAGCCAGAGGAGTAAGTGAGATTAGGGGGCCCGAAGAATCCAATCCCCAGAACCAGCACAGCCAAAGTTCAGAATATTGATGTTAACTGTTCATTCTGTGTGGCCCTCAGCCAGCTCTAGGATCCAGGTTAAATGGGTGTAAGAGGAGGGGGGAGGCGTGTGGTAGAGCCCTGTYGACGTGATCCAGCCAGGAAGAATTTAGTCAACAGACCAAGGCCGTTGTAGAGGAGAGTCAGATTCTGTAATCAGTTGTTTTGGGAACAGAAAAGTCAGGCAGACGATAATTTTCCATCTGCTTTAATGTTCTATTGGTGCGTCTCATGGTGGCGAGTCAATCAGGCAAATGGTGTGGACAAATTCCACCGAGCCGATCTATCAGCTTTCTCCAAGATGAATTCCATCTGGCCAGCAAGGTCCTGGGACCACAGCCGGCCCGCGACCCTCAATAGAACCGCTTGCAGACCGAGTCCAGTTCACTCAAGGCAAAATGTCCAAGTGCTGATAGAATACGGCCATCCATCCARTTGGTCAGTCAGCCAGGAGATGAAAAGCTACTGACGCTGTTTTGTAGAACCCCAGGAGACCACCAAGCCAATCTGTGATCCAGTGATCGGAGTCCAGATATATATCCAGAACAAAGAAGAACAGAGGTCCCCACCTTTGACATGTCCTCCCATGGAAGAAGAAAAAGCTTTGCTCTGTTAAAAGGAGGATAGTCTACATTTTTGTTGTAACAGATGTAGTGATGTGCTTTTAAACATACATTTTGGTTCACATTTCATGTTTTAATGATATTTACAAATATTTTTAAAAAAATCTATTTGGTTGGGTTTTCAAGGTCAGACAACCAAATAAATCATCTTCCAGTTGCTCTTTTTCTGTCTTGTTAATGTCCTTTTCATTCCACTCCTGGTGTTTTTCCACCAGGTGTGGTTTCAGAACGCTCGAGCCAAGCTGAGGCGCTCCCTCAACTCCGAGGACTCCCAGGTCAGCTCCCCCTCCAGAGCCGCTGCCCTGGCGGCCGCGTCCTCGACGCCGGCCTGCTCTCCGTCGGACCAGCCTCAGCCCTTCCCGACCAGCACCATCGACCAGCTGCAGCTCTCCCAGCTCACCGCCCCGATCAGCGAGCCCTCTTTGAGCCCGGTCCTCAATCCGCCGTCGTACCAGCTGCTGCAAAGCCCCGCCTTCTTCCTGGACTACGATTCCCAGAGTGCACCGGGGTGCATCTCCTCTCTGGAGCCCATTGGGGACTTTGGGGAGGCAGCAGGGGCGGTAGAGAGGAATACTGATACTTTTGAAGCACATTATAGCTAACTAGTGGTTTTGCAGTAACAGTTAGGTTTTTTAAAGTGAATTGGTAGTTAAATCACCAAAGATTATGATGAACTTTTTTGAGTTTATAACGATAACTTGATCCTGATTGAGGTAAGAGAACAAAGTAAGCTGTTATTGACATCAAGGAGTGTATTAGTCCAAAAGAAAACAATTCCATGAACCATTATTGCTGTGTATTTTTTATAGTAATGTGACTTGTTTTATTTATTTAGTGAATTAAAACTGTTTAAAAGCATTTCTCCTTCTTTTATGTCTCGTGTCACTATTTGAGTTAAAAATTTACGACATTAAAAATGACATTTAACTTTACAAATAATACAGTATATTGCATTTATGTGCTCATCGTACTTTTAAACGCACTATTATTTGCGTCTGTCAAATAGTTTGAGTGGCAGAGCATCTTTGTTATGACTGCATTATGGTTCAGAGATTTTGGTTTAGTTTTTGGATCTGGATCCAGTCCAAAAAGATTCAACTACCTGCTATTCCTTTAAATGTAAACCCCCAACCCATCCCACTAGAGGAATAATTTAAAATCTTGTGCAAAGTATTTAAAGTGACTGTGACAATCCATCGAATACAAAAAGTCAAAGAAAGCACATTTTTATGTAAGAAATCTTGCATAAAACATGTGATTTTACCTGTTTTGTCACATGAACAGCATATTTTCTTTTTAACTTCAGCCGAAGTGCGACAGRAAGTGACATCAAAGGGGAACTCTTTAAGAAAGAGAACTCTGTCAATGTTGTTTATTGAAACGATATTATTTGAACTCTGACTCGTCTTCCTTTATCTCTGATTATGACTCAAAATAATCTTAAGAAACATCAGATTTCTTCTCTACAGTCTGTGTCGTTGGCTGTTTTATCAATGCTTTGTTCCATGCAGGCATTCCCCTTTGACATCACTTCCTGTTCCTTTACATGCAAATATCTCAACAACTGTTCATCTCAGCAGCATGAAATTAGTTTTCCAATAAGCTAATTCTGTTATCTTTCCAACAATGTCTTTATATTAATTTAAAAAAATTCATGTCACAGTTTGTGACAAAAAAGGTCAAATGAACTGACCAGCAAACTGTTAGATGTTAGTATTTTTTAATTAAGACCTCCACTTCCTGGTTTTGCTCCAACCTTAACAACATGCATTCAGAACATAATAAAAAGCTCTTTTTGTAGATTCACACTCACATGCAYGTGGCCCTGTGCATGCTACAATTGATGGCATTTTAATTCATGGAGAGGCCTCACGCGGATTGGATTTGTGACGAGATGATTATGAGATTCTTCCGTGTTTTCCCAGTGAGACCTCTTTCACAACGAGTACAATCGTAAAGGAAATTTGGTAATATTGCAAAGACATTCTTTCATCAAAAACATCTTAATTAACTATCGGCTTCCTTTTCCTCCTCCATTAAATAAGCTATAATTAAAAAGGGAAAAAAAAATCATCGCCTACGAGCTGAAACGGGCCAACGTTTCTCAGATGGAGGAATGAGCTTTATGGGCATTCATTAATGTTAGCGTGCGTCAGAGGGCTCACCGACCAATAGGTGATGGTAGGGTGGTGGGGATTGTTTTAAAAAAGGTCAGAAGCAACAAATTTTTACAGAAGATACAACAAGTTGTTTGACGCGGCACAAGGTAGGAACAAAAATCTGATTTTTTTTGGTCTTTCTTGGTGTAGATTTGATTGTTTCTATTTATACTTGAAAAATCCCAATTTTGTTTTTAAATGACTTGTGTGGAGTGGATGCATTATCTTGAAATGTCATTATTTTAAACATCAAGCAGATATCAGTGTGAAAAATGTTTGAAACGTCTAATTTTAATGCAATATCACATCATTCTGTTTCCAGATGAGWCTATCGTTTTATCTCGGTACCTCACAGCTCACCCTCCTCGTCCTGGTCCTCCTCTGCCCGATCCCTCAAACGGTCGCATCATACCCCCAGTCCTCCACGGTGGACAGACATGAGCTGGAGTCCACCCTGGTTGATCTCCACTCGGCTCTGCAGAACCACAGAGATCCTAAAACTTTCCCGGACCGGCCTCGAGACCTTCTACGAGCTCTGCTGGGGTCCGAGGAACAGGAGGAAGAAGAGACGCTGCTGAGGGCCCAGAGAGGAGACGTCTTGGATCTGGCATTGGCGCCCTTCACCGGGGAGAACTCCCTGGAAAGCGTGCACTTTCTGGAGGGAGGAGAAGGAGAGGAGGGCAGGAAGAGGAACGACGCTCTGACCTCCATGGCTGGAGGACTCCAAGCTGTCAGCCGGGAGAAAGGAGGATTTGGTTTCCGATTTGGACGGAAAAGGTGGACAGAGAAGGAAAAAGTGGACMGAGGGTCCAAAACGAAGACAACAAGCAAAAGCAACAAGAGGAGCTTCAACTGGGGTGAAAGAGACTGATGTAAAAAAAAGTATAAAGCTTTCAGCTGATGATAAAGTAAACATGCAAAAGTGGTGACAAATGTAGATTTGTTTTTATTTACTGATGGCATAAATGGCAGCCAGATGTGTTCCACAGTTGATGCACAAAAAGCTGCCTTTAAACATTAGAAACAGAGCAATAAGGCAGAACGTCCTTGAGAACATAAAATATAATAAAATGTTTATTTCATGAGCACAGTGTGATTTCGTTATGAATAAAACAAAACTGTATAAGAT